TTTTTTTTTACTTTTTAAACTTTTTTGTTAAAAAGTAAGACACAAACACACACATTAGCCTAGGCCTTCACAGGGTCAGGATCGTCAATGACACTGTCTTCTATCTCCCTATCTTGTCTCGCTGGAAAGTCTTCAGGGGCAATAACATGCATGGAGCTGTGCTCTATGACTAATGATGCCTCCTGAAAGAACTGTCTGAGGAGGTTTGACAGTGAACCTTTTTGTTTAATGAGTAGAAGGAGTACATTCTAAACCAATGATAGATAGTACAGCAAGCACGTAAGTCGGTAACATGGTCCTTACCATTATCAAGTATTATGTACTGTACATAATTGTATGCGCTCTTTTACATGCCTGACTGGGAGCGCAGTAGGTTTGTTTACACCAGCATTTCCATAAACGCGTGAGTAATGTATTCCACAATGATGTTATGACCGCTACATCATCACTGGGCGATAGAAATTCTTCAGCTCCATTACAATCAATCGTTAAGGGATCACCGTCACTATATGGTCTGTCATTGACTGAAACTTAGCTATGCAATGCGTAACAGTGCATGCTGATTGATCTTAAGCACCAGTATGAAGAAAACTATCTCAAAGCACAATTCTAACCCTGGGTCAACAATATTCTCTTCAGAAATAAAAACACAACCAAAAAGCATTGCTTAGTAATACTTAAGATTTGATTATCTGTTTCAAATTCCTGCTAATTCACAAAAAGAATAAGCAACCTACTTCGTATTCTCCTCTTCTGTACGTGGTAGCATGAGCTGTCTAAGGATAATTAAGAGAACAGACCACTTCCACTCTGAGTGTCCTGCCTACGTTGCTCCCTGTGCTTATCTCATGTAGGGGTTCAGACTATGCAACAAGAGACAGCGTCTCACATCAGATCAGATAATGATTCTGCAATCGTGAATATACAGTCATTTTTCTATGTGGCAGTTATTCCAGCAATGTGGAAAAGGCCACAGCTTTCCTGTCTAGCAGGCATTAAATTCCAAGATGGTAAGCATCCCTCTGTTAAAGAAGGGCTAGATAATTATCTTATACCTCAAAAGTCCTAAAAGTACTCAAAATACAAGGTTTCATGTTATTTCACTCATTATTATTATCCTAAGAATAGGGTTTTCAGAGTCACAGAAGATATTCAAAATCTGAAATAATGATTTTATAAAGTTAATTTCCTTTACCAAATTATTTGGTAGTTGATTTTTAAAACAGAATTCAAATATAACCAAAGAAAACTGCTTCATTTAACTTTTCCCCTTTTTTAGCAACTTAGTAGTGTTAAAGTAAACCAAATTTGGCTTGAGGATGCCTCTGAACTTTTGAATCCTTACCAAGGAACTGCAACATAACTTACTATGTAAACTAACTGGAAGCCTAACTTAGAAGTATATTTTTGTAATAAATAGCTGAGTTTCAGCTAATCACAGGTGGCTAACTGATCAGACCACGTTCCAATAAGGCAAACCCCAAGCTGTAATCAATCAAGGTATTTCTGTATCTCACTTCTATTTTCTGTCCATAAATGGTGAATGCATAAATGCAGGCTTTGCCAGCTGCAATGCAAAGTGAGCTCTTTGAACCTTTTCTGGTGCTGAGAGCTGCCTGACTTGGGAATAGTTCCTTGTACAATTAAATTCTGCTAAATTAAATTTACCTTAAATTTTTCTTTTAGCAATGGTAAATAAGAGTCAACATTGTAAGATACTGCACCTTACCAGAAAACCAGATGAATTGTCCAGCAGACACCTTAGTCGGCATATGAAGCACCTCTCCATTAATGAAGAGTTTTCTGGAGGAAGCGAGTCTGGGTTGTAACAGATTCCTGGCTGTGGAAGACCATGACCTTCTGTAGAAA